GGGCGAGGTAACAAAATTTCCAGTTTTGGTGTTTTTTTATTGGAAATATAAAAAAAAAACCTTAAATCATCCCATTTTTAAACGCTCACCCTCGCTTTAATTTTTGACAAAATTTCATGATTAAAGTGTCAAATTACTGGAAATTTTGTCAATATTTCCAGAATATCAGTTATATTTCCTTTGGGCGGATAGGATTCGCCCCATTTCGCATACTAATTTACATGTATTTCTTATGGAAGGAGTATTTTAATAAGATATCAATTAAATAAGTTATAACTCGTAATCTGTTGAACCAAAATAAACACATTATATACTTTTCTTGTAGAAAATTTAATCTTCTTCAATATTATAATTTACTATAGTATACAAAAAGTTGATAGCTTTCGAGATATAATCAAAAAACCCAAAATGCGTACCTTTTTCCCCCCCTTTTTCCCCCCTCCACCCCCTGGCTCACCACCTAGGAGTCAGGACTTTTGGTATGTTAACAACCTAAGCCCCCTGAACAAGTTTCTGAAGGAATCGCTTAAGGCCATGTCACACCGACATCGCCGCTCCCGCCGCGGGAGTACCGCGCGCAGATGTTTTTCCTCGAGCCATGTCACACCAAAAGTTCGCGCCCGCGGCGGGAGTTTTGAGATGAGTTAATTACAATTCGTTTTACATAAGAAACTCATCTTACCTGTTTAGTATGCCATGTAAATTTGCAGGTTTTAAGTAAAGTGTTTAAGAAGCAATTGAATATTTATTAATGTGTTAGTGTAGGGCTACTTTAAAAAGTGAATAACAATTTTTTTAAATTTAATTTAGACCTTGTGTTCGAAGCGTTTTAAATATGGTTGTGGATAAATTATCAACTTTCAGCTTTTGAACTTTATTTTTCACTACACTACAAAGACTATTTACTTTTTAAATAAAAACATATGAACATTTTAAAACTAATGTAATTTTTTGCTTCTATTGAAAGTTCAAGTTTACATTGATTTAAAGTTTTGGTTGTTGCAAATCAAAAAAGTTGATGAACCAATAAAAAAAATTGTTTACGTCAGCAATAAAAAAATGTTTATGGGAAACATTAAATTTTCACCGTAAACATTAATTTTGCATGGTAAACAAAAATGATTTTTTTCTGGTGATAAACATAATTACGAAGATAATACACAAAACAACATAGACTACATCATCAAACAAAATAAACATGTTAAATTTAATTCAAAACTGTATTAAACTGTATTACTTTTAAACTTTAAATAGCTTGGGCATTCGAAATGCCCATTTGCGCATGCGCTAGACCAAACTCCCGCCGCGGTAGTCTCAAAAAATCGCTCAGCAGGCGGACGTGGCGGACACTACCGCACGCCCGCGGGCGCGCGGTAGTGCGGTGTGACTTGGCACATTTGATAACATGGTGAGCGATTTTTCAAAATTCGCTCCCGCCGCGGGAGCGAGCTCGGTGTGACTTGGCCTTTAGTTACCTGCTCACGCACTCTACACCTACTTTTGGATCATTCATTGACTGGACTATATAGAAATAACTACCTACTATTCAAAAACCATTACTGTATTTGTGATGTAGCGTATATCCAATGCCCTAAACAAGTCTGAACAGCCGAGTAGTTATTGAGCCACTCTCAAACATGTAGCTGTTTTGTCCGAAAGCGAGATCGATTCTGGTCTCAGCATTCTGGCTATTAGTTAATGAAGTTATCGAACAAAAGGTATACTTTTGAATGGTTTAAGATCAGGACTTTATGGGCGGGCATTAATTGCGCCAACTGACCTGAGTCAGTCGGGTATACCTGAATTGCGCCAACTACTTCAGGGAGCCACCCGATACGTTCCTTCACTAAGCTAAGTGCCGGCCCTCTTTCACTGTATAATTGAGAAGGTTAGGTTAAGTTAGGCTAGGATGACAGGAAAACCAGGACATTCTTTCTGCCGGCAACTCACCCCTACCTTGGGCTTGGCGCAACTAAGAAACATTTTTTGGGACCCTTAGAGGTCTTTGTGCAATTAAGAAACTCTTTGGCGCAATTAATGCACGACCGGTGTTTACTCCTCTACAAAATACGTAGACAATCGCAATGGAGTGGATAAACACAAATAGGAGGATAGTTGCAATGAGGAGATGAGGCCATTTTCGTTGACGACCTAATAGCACACACTGTTCCTGAGTTCAAGTTTTATACCTATGTATAACAAAATAATTGTAACCAAAGAGGGAAGGAGGCCAGACATCCTGGGCCGGTTACGTAACCAGCCAGAAGCCAAGTACAAGGATCGGATCGGATACCTGACGGAGTGTCCGATTTCTTTATCCAGGTAGATCACAAACTACAGATCATGGTGTTAGTAAACTCTGTACTTTTTCCAAGTATATATATTTTCCTTGTCAAAAAGCCATATAAAAGGCATTCGTAGACATAAATAGATAATACCTTACAGCTTGTAAACAAAGCTACGCCTCTTTAACCCCACTTATCACAAGTGTAAGTTGAATATTCGGAAATGAACTCCAAACGTGTTTTTAAAAAGTTTATGCAGTAAGATAAAACTGTTCCTGAAAAGATCGAGGAAAAATGGCGGCCAGCAAAAAAATTTGAGGAAGGAGCTGGGACTCCAAAATGTTGCCAAGTTTCCAAATTATTTTGTAATTCCTTACTTAACTCTAATTTTTTCTGAAAAATGTTCTAGATATCTCTCTAAACTTGGTGACGTTTGGGGTTAACCGATAAAACATCATGTCCAAATAGATAAGGTGAGAACGATATTAATTTTGTTTTTAATTTGAGGCAAAAATTCCTAAAGAACCGACAGTGAGTGGTATTCTGTGGGTTTGCTGATCAGACAATTCTTGAAGCACAAACCGAGTTGTAATCTTTGAGATCGTTCAAATACTTTGTTCTCGTAGATGGAATTGTTAAATAACCAATATATAGAATTTCAGGAACCATACGACGGTAATGTGGAGAATTTTAGGCATGTCTCGTGTACCTACTTGGTATCTAAGACAAGTAAACGGTCTACTGATACACCTCAAAAGCCAGTAGCTGCAATACTTTAAAATCTGTTTCTCGTTGGAAACCTGTTTCGAATCATTCTACTCCAGTTGCAGCGAGACTTGGAGGATGTTCCACTAATTTCAATCTTCTGTGTTTCACAGAACTTATGTCAATAGGTTCGAATTTGGGTTCGAATTGTACATCGTTACCAAAACAGGTCGCATTTTAACTATGTCAGAATTACCTTATTTTCTGGTTTTCGGTCAAATTTCGTTCTTTTGAACATAGGTTCAGGGAAAATCAATATTTCAACCGACAAATCTATAAATTTTTACGAAAAACTCTACCATATAGCATTTTAAAGTGTAATACCACTAACAGTGGTGGTGAGTTAACAGTTGAGTTGGTAAGTAATTCTCTAATTACTAACTCAGCGAGTCAGGCACGCTAGCTAGGCGTGGCCCGGGGTAATATTAACACCAACACAAACACAAGACTGATATGCTTGATTGTAGGCCGGAGGTAGAGTGTTTAATACAGTGTTCACTTAGAGGTTCTTAACTGATCACTAACTCAACCCTCGACTGACGCCATGTATTTTTTAGTGCCACCTTCACATCCTAGGACGCTAGGATCTAGCCCGCGGTCGTGCATTAATTGCGCCAAAGAGTTCCTTAATTGCGCCAATTCCCCTAAGGGTCCCAAAAAATGTTCCTTAGTTGCGCCAGAAGGTTGCAGGCAGAAGGAATGTCCTTGTTTACGTGTCATCCTAACCTATTCTAACCTAACCTAACCCAACCTAACCTACTCAATTATACAGTAAAAGAGGGTCGCCACTTGGTGTAATTATTGAACTACATGGTAGCTCGGGTAGCTGGAGTAGTTCGCTCAATCCAGGAATACCCGACTACCTGACTCAGGTCAGTTGGCGCAATTCATGCCCGCCCTAGCCCGGAACCGACTTCAGGCAGGTCTTAGAGGGTTGCGGCATCATCACATAGATAAAATCCATTGGTGATTGGCGGGACTTGAACCCGGGAACTCGGGCTCTGAAACCCCGCGCTCTTCCACTAAACTAACTCGCTTCCCCTGAGGGTTTTGAAATTCTTAGGGCGAACTAAGGAGGGAATTGTGGTGCAATAATGGTTGTATCTATTTTTTCTATCCTACATAATGTTTGTAACTAGGTTTTTTAAATTTTCTGAGTGTTGCTGAGTGTACACACTTATAATGTGTATGTAACTGTGATATGTAAACGAATAGAGTAATAAATTTTGTTATTGTTGAAAATATAAATAAATCAAGTTACATAATCATCCCGTGCTGTCATTCAATCGATGGATTCGTGTTACTAACGAACTCTGAAATTGGCCTCGTAACATTTATTGGTACCCGTCGAGTCACCAATTCATATTTAACTTGCCAATGATTGGGTTGGTTCGATTTTTATCGGACTGATTGCGGGCATAGTCAATAGTATTGATTGACCTAAAGCTTTGAAGGGAACGAGGTTTAATTGCAGATAAGTAGTATGCGAATTATTTAATTTACTTCTTTTTTGTTTAATTAAATTTGAATCACAGTTATTGGAATTCATTAAGAAATTTTAAGACGCGAATATATAATGTTCTAATTATTATCAACTTTTCAAGAAATTATTTATATTATATACTATTCTGAATTTTTACTAGAGGACTTTTTTTAGAGCTAATAACTTTTGCTTAAAATGATTCGATCGAAGATAATGAATTAAAATATGCCAGATAAAAGTAATTTCAATTGCCACTGGGTATGGACGAAAGAAGCCATTCAATCCTGTAAGAGTAAACGAGTAAACCAACAACGTCTTAACAAATTGGTAGTGACAATCCACACCGATGTCTACAGTCTACAATCACAGATGAACAATAGTAATTATTATATTTAGTGGGAGGAAACATTAAATAAATGATGGAATAGTGATAACCTTAGTGTTACGTCATTATTGAGTCTGCAGATTGGACAGTCAGTTGTTTTGACAAATTGTATGCTAGATACACACCACACCTATAACCAACTATTGCGACCACACAATTGTTTTCAAAACACTTGTAATAAACAATGATGTATAAATGACGTCACTGCTCCAGCTGATTGGACAGCCAGTCCAGACCCTCGTAGAGTCCTCGGCCCTGCGTGGCGCAAGTCTCTTGTATCTTCCATCTGTTCTTCACTTTGTCCAAACCCAACAGCTGGCTCAGCTCAGCAGCACTCAGCGCGTCGGGAAGGTCCTGTTTGTTGGCCAGGATCAGCAACACGATGTCCCTGAGAGCTTCCTCCTGAAGTAAGCTGGTCAACTCTTTCTCGCACTCCGACACTCTATCACGGTCGCTGGAGTCCACCACGAAGATGAGTCCCTGGGTGTTCTCGAAGTAGTGCCTCCACAACACCCTGATCTTGTCTTGTCCTCCGACGTCCCACACTGTGAAGCTGATGTTCTTGTAGTCCACTGTCTCCACGTTGAACCCAAGGGTCGGGATGGTTGTGACGACATCGCCCAGTTTCAGTCTGTACAAGATCGTGGTTTTCCCAGCCGCATCCAGACCGACCATCAGGATCCTTACAGACTGCTTTGCGAAAATACGAGTTAGCAAGGTGGATATTGTGAGTCCCATGGCAAAATTTATGGCTTTTCAGAATGTTATGATTGTTTGTTTGTTGTTTCCAGAGATGAAAATACAGCTGGTGAAATTGAATTCGCTGTAGCACCGTACCAAATACATAGAGATTACTTTTTCGTCACCATTTTATCTGCTCATTAATCCACGATAAATTCTCCAATATACAAATGAAAATCATCTTCGAAATTCTTAAGAAAGTGCGCTCTGAAGAAAATTATAATAGAAAATTTGCATTTCTTTGTAAGGTATTGTTGCCTATTCAGTGGATAATAGTTCTTTAATGTTCATTAATCTTGTAGGAAATTTACTTCAACGAACTTTAATGTTTACTTTTAAATTAATTCCCTATTGAATTCATATAGTAAGTTTAGACCTAATATTACACTAATTACATGTCTTTAAACCCCAGCTCTACTCTTCAACGTTCTGACTCACAGTAGTTAATCCTACTGATCTTAATTATCACAGTTTGAAAATTTTATTCCTAAAAATATTTAAAAATTCTTACTACCGACCACATCCCAATACGAAAATTACGAGCCCAATGATCGCTCTATGGTTTTAGCAAAGAATAAACATTATTCCAGAAAAAAGGTTCAACACTATTTAAACAGTTTCAACGTTCTTATCGTATATTAATAGTATTTATTGCCAACAGAGCAGCTTTTCACACAACGGTTACAATGATGGTTTAGACTGGTAAGCAACAACTGAATGTGTCATGTTATAAAGTGAGTGACCCGTAGCTGAAGCCTTGACCATGACCGTAGCTTACCTTCACACCTACTTGCTGACTCATATAATCTCTTACTGTCGGACTTATAAATAAAATCCCGAAATAAATAAACTTAAAATTAAACCCCTTTGTCTGATGGGATTACATGATTGAACATGTAAATAGGTTTTTTTACAATGATATTTAATGGTGTATGGGTCGAGATTTGATATCATAGATATCAAGAGGAAAGTCAGGAATCCCGCATAACATAGATGCAGTTCGAAAATGAATTTGACGTATATTTACTCATGCTAGACGTCGTCCAGTGGTCGAAAACTCGACCAAAAATGTGTAATATGGAAAGACTTTTCTATTTGCACCCCACGCTGTAAATAGAACATTTGTTTGGGATTTCTTCCATTTCTTTGGATTTTCTGTTTATATTTCGTTGCTATTTCGTCACCAGCATGGCAATCCTTTACCTTTACGAACCCACTTTATGGCACACATGATAATTTTTTCAAATTTTTTAATTATTTTTTTTGTTTATTTTTTAGACTATCTATTATCTGTTATCTATTATATATTTTAATTTTATTAAAGTGATACAATGAAATTTTATGTAAACGGTTAAGGTCATTTACCAAATAAAAGTATAGGCATATGGCACATCAAAATGAGGCTTAGAGTGTGTAGATTTGCCGAAAAATATTAATATGGACGAATTTCCTAAGGGCTCTGCTCCACAGGCTGATTTCCAAAGGGCTACGCCTGGCATGCCATCAATGTTTAAATAATTTAATTTAGCTAATGAAACAGCTGGTCAGTAAAATGAACTGGTGTTTGTTTATTTACTCGAAAGAGATGTTTGTGACGCTTTATGTAGATTGAGGAGGGTTATGTTTGGTTTTAAAGTGAGGTTGTCCTACGTTTTGTAAAGTATTGCTCAAAGTTTAATTTGTTTAATTTATATAGTAAGCTACATGTGAAGAGGCTTGGCTAAAATTGAAGAATTATAATAACACATGTCATTCATGAAGCATCAATATGAAGCAACTGATGCTATTGCTACACTAAGGTATGTTGTCCTATTCTTATGGATCTATCAACATCAAAAGTAGGGGTTTGAAAGTAAGTCCTAAGTTTACGCTTTTAAATCAGTTTATATTTTCAAACTAAATCAAAGAATGGCTGTACAGTTTGCTGTTTTAAAACACACATCAGCACCACTTTATTGCTCTCTAGCTCTCTTTGTCACATTTTCTTCCCGTTGCAAAGCACGGGTATAGCAGCTTGTTTTAATTTAAAAAGGGATTCCGACATCTACAGGAAAGTATCTTCAAATGCGTAGATTTTCCCTGCGATGCACACGAGCTGATTAAAAAGGTCTGAAACATGCTTGCCTATTATATAGATAAATATGAGTTCGGTAAAAACTGCGGTAGTAAATTTATCAATTGCGATGTTCCGATATTCAAAACATGTAATACACTCGTGTGATTTTCCCCGCGGATGAATAATTGAAATCGGAAGTGAGTCCGACCGGAAATATAGCAGGTTCGTGTTGGCTACATCGCTACATGGGCAACTTGTTGCGCGAGATCAAATATTTACTGGCCATGCCCGGTGAACAATAGTTCTCTTACTTCGAACCTGAAATTCATTATTGTCATGAATCCATTTCTTTTAAATTTATATGAGTTTAAAAAATTGTCTGTACTTTACAATGAGTAGAATACTTCACTTTCTACATTTCTTTGTTGAATAATCAAGATTTTGTTTGTTTTTACGTTTTATAGCCTAAGGCGAGACAAGTCGTACTGTATCTCATTTTCTGCTCGTCCATTTGTGGGTAGGTTACGCCCATATTACGCTTCATAATCCAAGGAAACTAGGCCGACCAAGGACGGTCGTGCATTAATTGAGCCAGAGTTCTATAATTGTACCAAGCCCTCAACTCAAAGGGCCCTAAAAATGACCAAGCCAGATAGGGGTGAGTTGCAGGCAGAATAAATGTTCTTGTTTACATGTCATCCTAATCTAAACTAATCTAACCTAACTTAACCTAAACCCAACCTAACCTAACCTAATCAATTATACTGTACAGTCAAAGAGGGCCGCCACTCGGTGCAGTTAATGCACGTATTGGGTGGCTCCCTAGAGTAGTTGGCGCAATTCAGGAATATGACTACCTCTGAGATCAGTTGGCGCAATTCATGCCCACCCTCAAGAAAAAAGCTTTTCCTTGTTCAGTAAATTGTTAGCATGTGTTCGTCAATTTAAAAATGGTCTTCATAAGTAAATAAAATCAAGAACGGTACAAGCTCATCTTACGATTTTGGTAGTTTTAAGTTTTACTACAAACACAAAATACTAATCAGCTCTTTGGGGAAGATTCGTTCTGCAAACTGTCGCTGTAATGTTTAAGTCAGAAGTTGTTGACAACATAGAGTAAAACCTTTGTTACAATCATACTACATTTAATTTGTTTCCTACCGTAGAGGATTTGCGTTTTCATATCCCAATGTAGATCGCAACAATTACTAAGCGTGTGTATTGAAGTTGTACAGTATTTTGTAAATTGTTTTTTGAATGTTAATTTAATCGATTAGCTTTGATAAACCTAGCTATTTTCGTCTAGATATAACATTATATCTAGTTGTGACAATTTTACATGTCTCATGTTTTTTACTTATCGGGTTTCCCATTATCAAGTATGGTTATTGGGTAAAGCTACTAATACGATCTCTTTTAGTAAAAAAACCCTCAAATGGTCTCCTAATGGTCTGAGAATCTCGTGTGTTCTCTTTAGAAACACGCTGAGGTAACGACCAACCATTGTTGATCTTCTCTTTGGAAACTACAGAATCGCTGACTCTCAACATTAACAAGTTTCTGAGCCAAACATATGTCCTATCAAAAATTCTATTTTCCACTTTTTTAGTTGGACCATAACAGTTGCTATCTATAGGCTAGCTCACCAGTTCCGCTTGGACTTGGTAAAAAGTTTGTGTATTCGACTGAAATTTGTAAGTTACTTCAGCACAATCTGTAGGTGGCACACAACTACGATATGATTTTAATCTAAAAATCTGGCTACAAATTTAACATGGGAATGGGATGTCTAAAAGGTAATAGCTACCTACTTCCTACAGTGAAATTTTCTTAGCTTCTAAAATTCAAAAAGTAAGGTAAAGGCAGACCACAGGGTATCTTTGATGCAGCAGACCTTTTATTTGACAGGTTGAGATGAGCCGAGGTGCAAATGAGTGGGTCAATAATTCAACGCGGCGGCGCCTACTTGAGACTTGTCTCCCTAGCTCCAGCCATACAACACACAACATGGCTCAAACTATTCCTTAGCTTCCACAAAGACTCAAAGTTTCTACTTCGTGAAGGCAGAGAGAAAATTTACGTTTAATTAAGTGGGATGAGTGGAGTACCTTGTTACTGAGATCAGCTGTTTCTTGGCCAAGATAATTTTAAAAGCCCAATTATCAGAGGTCTCAAGTTGGAGCTAGTTTCGATCAAAAAAGCCAATGGCTTTTACTTGGGAACGAACAACCTACAACCATTGACTATGAATCCTTATAGTCAATGCTACAACCAAGAGAGGTCTATGACTTTGGATACTACAAGTAGACGACCAATTTACGTTAAATAGATGTAGCATTTTCTTTGGAAAACTACTCGATTATGCTCCGCTCAATATTGCAAGCAGACAACTGCATTGTACAAGTTATATTTTACCTGACACACCTGTAGGCATTGTACAGAGTACCTAGGCACAATTGTCAATTTCTAGTCAAATTGTGTAAAATCCTGTTGTTATTAGCACATTTTATACTTTGCCTGAACGGTAGTACGAAAAAAAGCGTACAGCGAAATATGCGTATAAGGGGAAACATTGTTATTAGACAAGAGTAAGTGGTAAATATTACAATACGAAAAATGCGTACTGAAGGGTCGGATGGTTCGTTTAGGCAATGTATATAAGGTTTAGTAATTCTATAACATACTTTCAATTTTTCATTTTAGACGCATTTAACACTTTTTGAATTTTTCTCAATCAGCTGTGTGGCGGTTCAAAATCGCAAACAAATGAGCTGTCAAAACTGTCAGAAATAAAAATGTAAACAATTCCATTACTGACTGTTTCCATGGAATGGGCTCAAATGGTACTTTATAAAGGCTGGAATCAAGACATGGAAATGAAGATTGATATTTGAATAAACGACATTCACATTCCGATGTATATTATAATTTCTCCATATTC